GAAAAAAGTTTATCTTTTGACAATTGATTTATTAAAAACATCCACTACTGAATCCAAAAATAACATCCATTTCTATCAATCCGGTCAAGTTTTTATGCTAAGTTCATTTTTAAATGCCAATTTGTCTAAATGGATCACTATGGATAATTACTTCTTTTTCTTTTACATTTTCAGTTGATTTTTAGTAATATTTCTCATCCGAATTAGACTTTTAAGATATAATTTGTTTTCTAACACAATTTATTGATGAAATGTTACAAACATGGTTCACTGTAAATGTAGCAGTCCACATTGATTAATTAATATGGTTATGTAAATTGCATGTTACTGTCATCTTTGTTCCAAATTTAGGGCTTGAACTTCGTTTTCAGACAACTCTTCTTGCCCTTTGTCCACTGACACAGATACTCAGTGCATGCTTTGCATACTATGTGCAGCGGCCAGGCTTTGTCCTGATTTCCAAGCTTCGTGCCAAAATAAGCATATATAAGATGAAACTTGTGACTGCATTCCTGTTGATTTGATTTGATTTGATTTATTGATTCAAAAGGAAAAAATTACTAAAAATCAAGCCTGACTCAGCATAATTGCTGTTTTGCAGCAGGTTCCTGTTCTGCAGCACATAAAACACTCAAATACAGCATCACAATCACATCATTATACACCATAGACACAAAGACAAACAAGCATACCAAATTTCAGGAAGGCAGCATTTGCAAAATAGGACGTCTAAATATGAGCACAACAAAAAGGGTCCAGCAGATGGCAGACAAGATTCTTCTTATCTCTGTTAGGCACAAGGGTGTATTCGCCGCCGATGTAACAGAATATGTCAGGTTTATTTTTGCAAGATCTTCTGGTTGAAGCCATTTAGTTTTCAGAGTTCATGCAGGTTTCAATAAGGTAAATTTAAGACCATTAGGAATGACATTTAAGACCAAACCGATGCATTAACAGAAACATTCAGATGGTCCCAGAAATTTTAACATAAAAACCTTTTATTGCTGTGAATTTGCCTATTAAAGAATATTTAATTTTAATAAAAGAACACCAAATTATTTCAATGTAACGGTCATGCTGTGGACCGCTTCCAACCAAGTGAAAAAAAAAATCACTGATATCAGCCAAGTCTCATTGAAAACACACTTTTCCATGTTTAAAACACAAGCAGTGGACATGACTGAACTTCTTTATTTTTTGGTCGGTGAACAAGCCACCGAATGCAGGGGGAGGTAGCGGTAAAGAGGTCGAAAGCATGGAAGTAAAGTGTGCCATTTTTTGCCTGCAGTTATCACAGGACTTGTAGTTTAACCACAGACCAAGATGAGTAGAAAACTATGGAGAGCCGTTTTAGCCAAAATTAAATAAATAAATAAATGGGTGAAATAAATAAAAAAA